TCCCAACCCAACTTCTTGGTTGGGGTCCAATAATGCTCACCTAGGCTAGTATCCAACTCACTCCCTATGTATACCCCCATCCTTCTCAATCCAATCATCAACTTCATTCCTAACTGTTCTTCTCACATGGTATAGAGCTTATATTCCTAGGCCTACTTCCCTCATCTCAAAGGCCCACCCGGCCGCCGCAACCCCCGGCCTGCTCCCTCAATTCTTTTTTCTCTCGGGTATCCCGCTGCCCTCCCCCCCTTTAGCGCCCTTTCCCTCCGCAGCTCCGCGGCCTCTCAAGCTGCTGCAGCCCGCGCCACTCCCTCCCGCGGCCTTGTCGCCGCCTCCGCGCTCGCCCCGTCGCGGCCTCGCCAGCCGCCGCCGTCTGCGCCACTCCGCGGCCTTGACGCCGCCTCCGCGCAAGTGCCGCCGCGGCCTTGTCAGCCGCTGCCGCTCGCGCCCTTCCCCCCCGCGGCCCCAACGCCGCCTCCGCGCTCGCCTCCGCGCTCGCCTCCGCGCTCGCCTCGCCGCGGCCTTGCTGCCCGCGCCACTCCGCGGCCTCGACGCCGCTTCCGCGCCAGCTTCGCCGCGGCCTCGCCAGCCGCTGCCGCCCGCGCCGCTCCCTTCCGCGGCCTCGACGCCGCCTCCGCGCCAGCGTCGCCGCGGCCTCGCCAGCCGCTGCCGCCCGCGCTGCTCCCCTCCGCGGCCTCGACGCCGCCCCCGCGTCAGCGTCGCCACGGCCTCGCCAGCCGCTGCCGCCCGCGCTGCTCCCCTCCGCAGCCTCGACGCCGCCTCCGCGCCAGCGCCACCGCGGCCTCGCCAGCCGCCGCTGCCTGCGCCGCTCCCCTCCGCGGCCTCAACGCCGCTTCCGCGCCCGACTCGCCGCGGCCTCGCCAGCCGCTGCCGCCTGCGCCGCTCCCTCCCGCGGCCTCGACGCCGCCTCCGCGCCAGCATCGCCGCGGCCTCGCCAGCCGCTGCTGCCCGCGCTGCTCCCCTCCGCGGCCTCGACGCCGCCTCCGCGCCAGCGCCACCGCGGCCTCGCCAGCCGCCGCCGCCTGCGCCGCTCCCCTCCGCGGCCTCGACGCCGCTTCCGCGCCCGCCTTGCCGCGGCCTCGCCAGCCGCTGCCGCCTGCGCCGCTCCCTTCCGCGGCCTCGACGCCGCCTCCGCGCCAGCATTGCCGCGGCCTCGCCAGCCGCTGCCGCTCGCGCCGCTCCCCTCCGCGGCCTCTACGCCGCCTCCACGCCCGCTTCGCTGCGGCCTCGCCAGCCGCTACCACCCGCGCCACTCTCCCCCTCCCCGCGGCCTCGACGCCGCTTTCGCGCCAGCGCCGCCGCGGCCTCGCCAGCCGCCGCCGCCTGCGCCACTCCCCTCCGCGGCCTCGACGCCGCCTCCGCGCCAGCGCCGCCGCGGCCCCGCCAGCCGCCGCCACCTGCGCCGCTCGCCCTCCGCGGCCTCGACGCCGCCTCCGCGCCAGCATCGCCGCGGCCTCGCCAGCCGCTGCCGCCCGCGCCCCTCCCCTCCGCGGCCTCAACGCCGCCTCTCCCCCCGCCCTTCCGTGACCGCTACAGGTCCACCCGCAGCCGTCCCTCATGGCTAACGCCACACCCTCCCCCTCCCCCCTCCCTCCTCCTATTGATACTTCCTCCATCGACAAACTACAGCTTGCCGCGGACAAATCCGCCGTCAACTGGCACTCATTCGTCGGCAGCATCCGATGCGTTCTCTCTGACGCATGGGTCCCCCCTTACTGCGTCCTTGACGTCGTCCTCCGCCGTCCCCATGCCCTCCCCCCCACCGAGCCTGACCACCCAGGCCAGACCCCTCCTCTCCCTCCCTCCCCTGGCGATCCTCCTCTTGAACCGGGGGGGAAAACGGGGGGGAGGTGGGGGAAGGCATGGAGAACGAAAGCGGGTGCGTTCGCGACGAGATTGCAGTCGCATTCCTCGAGGTGCGCTGGGGGAGGGGGGAGAAGAGGGGGGGGGGGGGGGGAGGGGGTGGGAAGGTGGGAGTGTTGGGTTTGGTTGGTGATGAAAGTGAGAGGGTTGTGCAGCGAGGATAAATGAGTGGCGATGGGGACTGCAAGAAGCCGTTTCTTGCTTAGGGTCCCAACCCAACCCCTCTCACTTCTCCACCCCCCGCCACCTGTGCGACATTGATCGCTCAAGTGTGTACACACTGCAATATCCCCCAACCTTGGTCTCCCCGCCTGTTCCCCTTTGCGCCATTCCCACTCTTTCTGCCTTCCTGAAGGTGCACCGGGGAAAATGTATGAGGGCTTGTGCCAGCAATAGCAGACCGCATGGTGCTGCGCAAGCTTGTTTGTTCTCTCCCCTCTGTGCTTGACAACTTCCGTGGCCCAGCCTCTCCGTGTTCCCGTCTCCACCCCCCCCGCTGCAGGTGTGTGTGTGAGGGTTGTGTGCCAGCAGACCGCATAGTGCTGCGCAAGCTGGTGTTGAGTCGTCCCCTCCTTCCCCCCAACCCCCCCCTCTTCTCCCCCTTTTCACTTCACCTCCGCCAGGTGCGTGAGGACCATATACCAGCAGTAGCAGACCGCACGTTTCAAGTTGACCCCTCCTCCCCCCTCTTCCCCCGTTCTCCCTCTGCCAGGTGTGTGAGGACCGCATGCCAGCGGACCGCATGGTGCTGCGCAAGCTATTCTAAGTCGTCCCCTCCTCTTTTTTCTTGCCCCGTTCGCCCTCCGCCAGATATGTGAGGACCATGTACCAGCGGACCGCATGGTGCTGCGCAAGCTGGCGCGGGACATGCGCGAGTGGACGCACCGGCGAGTGAGGGATAAAGGATGATGGCACACGGCATGCGCGAATGGCCGCGCCTGCGGGTGTGCGAGAGGGGGAGAGAGGGGTGAAGGAATAGGGGGGATATGGAAGGGTTAAGAAGCGATGAGGAGAAAAAGATGGCAAGGGTTCAGGAACTCGAGGTCTAAGTCAGAAGCAAGACGTAGGGGTTCTCTCCTCTGACCTTTGTCATCCCCCACTCCAACGCCTCTCCACCACTCCTCCCGCCCACACCGCTCCACCACACTGCTCCCTTACCCCCCTTCTCCCCCACGCCTTTACCGCCCACCCTGCCTGTGTTGCTGCCAGGAGGATCCCTTTCGCCTCTCCCTGACCCCTCCCTCCTCCTCCCCCCTCCCTCTCTCCCACCCCTCTCCCCCACCCCTTTTCCCCTCTGTCAAGCGCTGCTACGCGTACTTGTTCCCTGTATTCACATTCCCGCATCCACCAAACCCCCCACCCTCCTCCAAAGCGTATCCTACCCAACCTCTCCTCCTACATTTTTGCTGTCCCCAGTCTGATTATACAATCCCATCATGCCTTACCGTTCATTACATCGTGCCCCTTAATGTCCGTCCTCCCAAGGTGTTACGTGCCCTCTTCTGTCCTGTATCATTGTGCTCTTCCCACTAATGCTTTCCCATCTTGCCCCCCACCATCCCAGCCACAACAGCACCATAGTCATCGCACCATTGTCTCCCCCCCCCCTCCCTGCCCTCCCCCCCACCTCACCCTTTCCTTCTTAACTACTGCTTGGTACACCCGCTAGCCTTGTACGGTACTTACCATCCATCCCTGCTTTCACCCCCCCTCTGCTGTCCTCACCCTCTGCTGTCCTCAACCTGTGCTGTCCCAACCTTGGTCCACCCGTGTCTCTTGATGCCCCTTTTCCTTGTTTCCACTTGATTGGCTCCTGATGGCAGGCGAAGGGAGCATAAGTGCACGTGAGCATAGGAATATGGGAGCAGAGGAGCGTGGATTATGGATGCATGAGAGCATGGCAAGTAACCGATTCAAGCATGCCTTTTGCCACGTGTTTTCAGAATACCGTATCGCCCCGGATAAAAGCGCAGGCCTATGATAAGCGCATGCGCTTCTATCTGGAGCAATGCGCTTATGGCCGATCCTCAATTATAAGCGCACCCCCTGTAAAACCCTGACTTATTATAAGCGCATGTATAATATTAAAATTTGAATTTGCTTGAAACGGTAACGAAATTCCAATTTGCAGCGAGGTCACACCAATTTCGGTTCGATTGACTCGCGAGGACCTTACATTCTGCGCGTCCAGTCATTATGAGCTGGAATTCCGGCGCAATGACGTGTAACTGCCCCTGTGTGCCCGCAGAAATTCGCCCGCGTGCGACTCTGAATTGTGACCCCCTATCATTGCGCTTCGATTAAAATTGCAATAAGGGGATGTACAATCTGGTGCAGTAAGAATATAAATTTGTATTAGTCATTATATAAGCGCATGCGCTTATATTTTTTACTCAATTATAAGCGCACCCCCCTAAAAAACACTGATTTATTATAAGCGCACCTGCGCTTTAATCCGGGGTAATACGGTACGTGATCTCAGAGTTTAAAGGGACACAATAATTGTGCCAGCATCAGAACAAGAGTCTACCAGCTTTTAGGGAGTGGATTAAGAGGGTGTAGTGGGGGATTTGTGAGGCTTACGTGTCAGATACTCCCTCCCTCTAGTGCCAGATTGTACAAATAGTTGCGGTGCTGAATGGCAGATTCAGATAGCAATGTTGCCCACCCAGTTTGCAAAAGTGGCCGCACTCTAGTACCGTATCCTTGCTTTTTTGGAGGGCTAAAAAGCTGGCCATCATTCCGATTTGGTCTGACAACGAGAGCCGAAGCGGGCCATGTATGAAGTGAAGTGAAGCAAGTGGCGACAAATGGATGGGTACCAGGATGGTATGGCGGGAATCAGGCCATGGTGCTTTCAGAAACATTGAAACCCATTATCCACTAAAGAGAACATGTCTCAAAAAGCACCTGGGTGCTGTACCATATTCTAACACCCTAGGGTGTTATATTCGGGGGGATTTCTGTACCATAGCTAGCTAGGGTTAGTAGAACCCTGGTATGCAAAGCTTCATCTTGTTATGTACATTCACTATGCCAATGTCAGTTGAAGACTTTCGCTGTCTTACTCAAGGCCCTATCCAAATCAAAAGTTCCTCCTCAGGCTATCACAAATACTATCCACCTGCACACCTATGCCCAAGTCTCCCAAACCTGATCCTTTCTTCAGCCCTCAACACATCAGTGTCGATCTCCCTGGACCAATCAGGGAGCTCTCTGTGCTCTAGGAAGTGCACCATAGCCCCGATAATGCGGGGATCTCGGAAGTAAGCCCCGTGGTTAAGGTCAAATTGGCCGGTCAGCTCGCCAAACCGCTCCTCTATCATCACACACAGCTGCTTCACCTGCACGAAGGAGGAGGGGGAGACATGGACCAGGTCAAAGAGGGGGAATGATACACTCCACGTAGGGCTCCCAAAACTCAAATCCAAACGGGCCATGTTGGCTGTTAAGGAGAAAGAGAGGGTACAGAGAGAGTGATCCACACCGCACACGGCTCGCTTGCTTATGTCATAGATCGTGCACCTCCTCGTTGCTTGTTTGCTTACCTTCCAGCTAGGTAGCAAGTCAAGTTCAAAAATACCACTTGCTTTCCTGCCACATGCACCTTCAACTGCGGGCTGCGTGTGAGTGGGCGCCTTTCAAGGTCACACCAGTGCACGCTTAGTAGATTGCACATTACTTAGGCCATGGCACAGTGCAGGGCAGTGGACGGCATGGCAGCTGATGCTGCTGTCTCACCTGACGCACGCATTCCTGGTCGGAGAGGCTCGGGTTGTGGGTGATGGCCTGCAGCTGCGGGCGCAGAAGCTTGTACATCTCGCACTCACTCGCTGCTGCCTCCAGCACGCCGTCGTTCCACAGGAAGTCATACGCTACCCGCTCTTCCCTGCTGCCTCTCGCACTCACTCGCTGCTGCCTGCCGCCGCTGCCGTGCTGCACTCCTGTCATCTTCAGCTGCCCCTCATGCCTCGGCCTCACCCCCTTCTCCTCTGTTACCCACTGTTGCTGTTGCTGCTGCTGCTTTCCTTTCATCTCTTCACTTGCACCCTCAACGGAGGCCTCGCCCAGTCCCCCCCTCCGTGCCGCACGTCCGACTCCCTCTGCTGCACTGCCCACTTCCCCCGCTCGTCCTTCCTTGCTTTCACCCCCTCCTTCACCCATCTCCTCACCGCCCTCCCCTCTCTCCCCTCCCTGTCGCAGAGCCTGTTCCATGAAGCGCCTTGCTGTCACGCGCCGTCTGAAGCGGCTTAAGCTCCGCCTCACGCTTCCTGGTGCTCTGCCCTGCCCTCCCTCCTCTCCTGCTGCTGCCACCATTTGCTGTTGGGCGGCACCACATGACTCCACGGCCTCCCCCAAACCCAACTGGGTACCTGAGAGCCCCGTTCGTGAATCACGGGGCTCAGCTGCATGCATGCAGCGGCCCTGCTGTGGTCTTGACACTCTTGTCAGTATTGAGGCTATCCCTGCACTCCCTGCACCCTCAGCACCCACTCTTTCATCACCTTCCCCTTGCCTCCGCACCCTCACCTCCCTCTTTCCAACCTCCTGCTCCTTTCTCTCCTCCACCTTACCCTCCCCAATCAACCCCTCCGCAGCTACCCCTTTCCCAGTTACGCCCTCTTGAGGCACCCCCTCTTCAAGTGGCCCCTCCCCGAATACAGCCTCCCCCATGTCACACGTGGCATCCTCATACCCCGCCATCAGCTCCCCCCGCAACGATCGCGTCTTGGCCAGCGCCAGTAGTTTCTGAGAAAGTGGGGAGAGAGGGGGGGGGGGGAGGGGGGAGGGTACGGGTGGCAGGAGTAAGCTAGAGGGAGAGTGTTCATTCCTTCCCCTCGAAACACAAGCTAGACGAAAGAAGACAAGTCACTGAGACATTTCAGATCTTGGTGTGTGCTGCTGCAACTGCTGCAGTGTTGCGCGTGCATCTGATCTGAGTGCACCTGCACGTTCCAGTGCTCCACGTGGTGTGATGGCGACCACTCGTCCATGTGGAGGCACTCGTCCACAAACACACTGGCGAAGCTCAGCTCCTTGGGGGACAGCCCAAAGCTCGCTGTCACTATCGCCCTCCGCACCACCGAGATTACGAATGGCGCCAGCAGGCGAGACAGCAGTGCTACAGCTGTTGCGGGCAGGATGAAAATTATGTTCCACAAGAGAATCTGGGCACTGTTGCTGATGTAAAGCGTCCAATTGGAGCATTTGTTTGTGGTTGGGCGGCGGGGAAGGGGTTTCCAGAAGGGGGTTTTGAGCATGGAGGCTAGCTGCGGGACGATGTAGGCTCGGGCGATAGGCTCGGTGGAAAGTGCCAGGCTGGCCTCGTCTAATTTGCCGGCGTGGATGACGAGTGCTGACATGGCATGCGACCAATCGAAGCCAGGAGCGTGGTAGATGTTCCCGCTGTAAAATGCAGTGCTGCGCCAGAGCTGGGATAGGGGGGTGGAGGGTAGAGGCAAGAGGAGGAGGAGAAAGAGAAAAGGGGACAGAGGGGATGACGGGAGAAAGAAAGTAGAGTGAGGAAGTAGAAAGAGAGTGCATCGAGAGTGATGTGTGATGGGTCGTGTGTGTGGGTGTGGAGAGCAATGCAGTTCACGAGAAAGAGAGGAAGGGACAGGAGAGCGGAGGAGAAAGCGGGAGGAATAGGGGATGGGGAGCAGAGGGGGGTTAACCATTAAGGTAAAAGGGCATAGCGATTTTCTACACCAGGAGAACGGTGTAACTACACACCTCCTTGCCATTCTATAGCCACACAAACCCTACAATCACAGATACCCACTGGCTTACCTAAATTATACTATCACATCAGTGCCATTGCACAATTCCTCATCACATCATCGCCCTTACACGAATCAATGTAAGCATACGATCACACACCCTCAAATTTACAGAACCATAAGAGACACCTTGGACTGGAGAACCGAACCATAGGTCCCTAAGAAAATAACCCTTTCGATATGGTGTCACCTTGATCCCACCCCATGTTGATAGAATGACACCACTATAAAATCACACCCACCTCCAATGCCACACTGACGACTGCGAAGACAAGAAGAGCAGCAGCGAGGGAGAAGGGCAGGTAGCTGGGCGTGGTGGTGCTGGTGCCATGCCATGTAAGTATGCATGGGAGGGAGAGAAGGGTGTGAAGGAAGACGAGATCTGCGAAGTATTTCACCTCAATGTTTTGTTTCAGAACCTTTTTTAACTTTCATCTTCCCAGCACCACCACAATGCGCATTACCTCGCAAGCTCGCCTGCAATGGCGAGCACAATCACGCGCCACAGCAGCACGTAGCCCCACATGACCACGAACGTCACCCCCACAGACACAGCGGTGGTAACCAGCAGCAGCAGCACGCCGTGGCGGTGCCAGGTCTTGATGTAGAAGGGCGTGCCCAGGAACACGACCCCACCCAGCGCATTGGACAGCGGGCTCGTGGCCAGGCGGTGCGCGAGGAAGAGGCGCTGGCGCCGGGAGGGCAGGCCCAGGAGAGAGTCCAGCCAGCGGTAGCGCGCCCACGGGTACCGCTCCTTGGTCCCACCTGCTCTGTGCTCCCCCATGCTACACCCAGGGGGAGAAGGGGGAAGGGAGGGTAACGGAGGGCGGCTAAGGGGGGAAGGAGCAACGAGGAGTGGATTTTTTTCTTCTTCTTCTTCTTCTTCTTCTTTCTTTTTTTGGCGTGGCAGCTCGCAGGCCTAAGAGGGAGCCCACTAGCTGTGGCACGAGAAGGGCGTTTCTCCCCCTTGTACTTGCTGCTGCTTCGTGCTCCGCATGCTTAAGTTGGAAAAAAACGATGTACTGAAACTGCGGAGGGAGCGGAGGGATGGGAGGAAAGGGATGGATGGGAGGAAGGAGAGGGAAGGGATGGGAAGGACGGGAGGGAGGAAAGGGGGGAGAGGGAGGCGAGGGAGGCGAGGGAGGAAACGGAGAGGAGGGACGGAGGGGAGTGAGTATAGGGGAGGCGGGCGAGGGAGGGAGGGTGAGCAGCGTACCTCCTTTTCACAACAAGGAAGGGAAAGAAGCGCCAGCAGGTATTGGAAAGATCCGGCTTCTGCCAGTGACGAATCAAATCGTATCTGCTCTTGTACGACGCCCAGAATTGTTGAAGGACAACTGGCGGAAGATCGGAAGCGGCCTTTTTTCCCTGGCCCTTCATGTACTGTGTGTGTGTGGCGGGTGGCCCGGGGGGCAGGGGGGACAGGGTGGGGGAGGGGCAAGGGGAAAGGGAGGAAATAGGCAGGTGGGGACCGGAAGGGGGAGGGGGATAGGGAGGGAGAGGGGGATAGGGAGAGGGAGGGGAGGGTGTAAGGGGGAAAGGGGAAAAACGCAGAAGGAAGGGGGAAAACGCAGAAGGAGAGGGAAGGGGGAAGGAGAGAGGGATAGGGATGGGGAGAGGGAGGGGAAAACGCAGGAGGAGAGGGAGAGGTTCGCAGGGGGAGGGGGAGAGGGGTGGGAAATGGGAGCCTGCCCTGCCCTGGAGCTCCCTTAGAGGGAGTATGTTGTTGAAGTAGAGGTAGCCCTAGTTACGTGCGTACTAACCTGCATGTTTGTGATTTCGTACGTATCAATGCAACAGACAATTTGAAAGGGTAGGGAGAGGGGAGAGGGAGGAGGAGATGGGGAGGGGGGGGTTAGGGCATAGGGAGTGGAGATAGTGAGGAAGAAGAAGAGCAAATGGTGGAGAGGAGAGAGAGTGGAAAAGAGAGGATATTTTGAGATCACTAGAATCTAGGAAAAAGATCCAGAAGCAACAAGAATAAGAGAGAAAGAAAAAGGGTGATGGTAAGAACTCACGAACTGAATGGCTTTGAGCAGCACTCACGAGCTCAATGGCTTTGAGCAGCACTCACGAGCTCAATGGCTTTGAGCGGCACTCACGAGCTCAATGGCTTTGAGCAGCACTCACGAGCTCAATGGCTTTGAGCAGAACTCACGAGCTCAATGGCTTTGAGCAGCACTCACGAGCTCAATGGCTTTGAGCAGCACTCACGAGCTCAATGGCTTTGAGCAGCACTCACGAACTGAATGGCTTTGAGCAGCACTCACGAGCTCAATGGCTTTGAGCAGAACTCACGAGCTCAATGGCTTTGAGCAGCACGTTGCCCCCGTGGGAGTGGGCGACGACGTGGATGCGCGCTGAGGGGTCGCCGTGCCCTATCACGTCCAGCAGGCCCGCCAGCTGTGGGCGTGAATGCAGGCAGGAGGTAAACGGCAAGACTTGTGGGGGCGGAATAAGGGGCCACACAGGGGAGACACCAGGGGAGAGAGGCAGAGAGGATGGAGAAGAGGTAGAGGAGGGGGGAGAAGAGGAAAAGGGAGGAGAAGGGGTGAGTAGGTGTAGAGGGAGGAAGAGTGGGGCAGTGGGTGGGTGGGTGGGGGGGAATTGGGGAAGAGGCGGATGGGGGGAAATTGGAGAATAGGACGGAAGAGAAAGCAAGGAGTGGTGGTGACTGTGCTGACTGGCGTTGAGAGGTGAAGGGGGGAGACCTGGGGGTGAACTGGGGGGGAAGACTTGATTTTGCTGTGTAGCTTGGATATCGAGGGGAAAAATAATGAGAAGAGCATATGCAGATCTTCTTTGGAGAAATCTCACGGCTGCTTGCTTCAGGAGTAGATACAACGTTCATTACTTTGTGTGCAGCGTCGATGCGCCCTTCATGCCTGTTCGTGCCGTCCCAGTGAAACGGATACGGGATGCCAAGTCGCGAAGGCGGCTCCGCCGGCAGCTCGCGCCACACGCATCCGTCGCCGAGCGGCCCCTTCGCGAGAAGCGCGCCGAGCTTGTTGCAGAAGTTGCTATCGCCGCGCGCCGCGGGCTGGTACCACGGCGTGCGCGGTCCTTCGGCCGGCGGCGCGAACGTGCCGTGGACGACGATAACGTAGTGCGTTTCTTGCGACACGTCGAACGACACCGTGCGACAGCTCGCTGGCGCCTCGGGGTCCACATCCTCGTTATTACGAAACGGGCCGTTACATGATGCAAGATAAAAACACCCGCGAGAATTACCGGCGGAGCCTGTCGATTCATCAAAAGACGTTTCGTCCGTCGCTGCGGCAGACATGAGCGCACCTGATGACCCTCGGGGCTGCTGTTAAAGCACTACGAGAAGAATTACTTCCAGACCTAACGAAGTTCTAAAGAAATTGCCAGCAAGCTTTGGAAGCAGGAGAGCGCCGGATACGCCAAAGAGAATCCAGAATTCGGAGTTGTGAATCTCACCCGAGAGAATGCGATGGCTCTGTAAATATATAGAAGCGAGAGCGAGTGGGTATAAAGACGAGAAGATAAGATACCAGGAGAGAAAGGAGGGATTCTATGTCGACGATTGATACTAACTGCTACGCAGATTCGAGAATATTCGTGCGATTGATAAGTAGTAACGCCCAGCGACTCGTAGATTCTACGGGAACAATTACGGTGGGATGAACGAGCGTGTTTGCCAGACATACGAAGTGCAGCACCCTAGTAATTGTATATTCCGACAGTAGCTTCACCCTCATTCAACGATGGTGAACGAAAAAATGGTGCTTTTGGAATGGGAACGGTGTTGAGCTGTGCAACACATGGTACCTCCCCCACGTCCTCTGGCATCGAAACTGGAGTCGCCCCAAATTCGTACCTTGATCAAGGCACGTGGTTGGGTCTGCTTGTTTGGCACTTCGCTTCGCGGAAGTGACCTTTGACAAACAAATGTTTCTTCGCAGAGGTGGTAACTGCTAAGAAACGCAACTGGCTGCGGTGAGGAAGGCAACGCATGTGTCGAACCCGAAGTTTGAGTGCTGGTTGCGATTTGAAATTCCTTGTCTCCTTCCTACTCCCAACCAGCGACTGCTACTACTGTGTGGTAGAGTCGCGGCGCATGATAGTAGATATATTGTAAGAGCGTAATTTGCAATCGCGAAAAAAAGGTGACTCGAGTAGCCCTTTACGAAACCAGTACGAATGGCGGCGCCCTCGTGTCACTCGTACTAACTTCCGCATATCGTGTGTTCTCGTCACTGTTTTGCGCGCGCTCGTCTTCGCCACCCCTCGACACTATCGAAATCGTTTAAGTCTCGCCGTCACACAGCACGCTCTGCAGATCGACTTACCCGCGCCGTTGCGAGTCACATTGAAAGCTGCGAAAACGCGGCAATATAGGAAACCCTAAGTAGAGGTAAGCTTCCCTGTCGTTTTCCCGGTAGTCCCTCCGCATTGCAAGGTTGCGGCTCACAAACTATCGTTTTCCCTACGGTTCGATGTGCTCGTAGTTCTGTCAGAGCGGGCCGATGTGCAACTCAACGAGGTCCCACAAACCGAGTCGCTAGCGATTTTTGCACCCGCCAAGAAATGACACATGCTTGCCCCTAGTAGCATACCCTAGCGTTGCCCCGGCCCCGCTGGAAACAAACTGGCCTAGCCCCGGCCCACGCGGCAACAGCTGAGCTGAGCTCTTCGCTTTGTTATCATTGCTGCTCCGCATCCTCATGCAGCATCCCATCTTTCTCTCTTCCTCATTCCAGCCAAGTGGCATTGACTGAGAAAGATGGCATTGACTCAGCTATAATACACAGCCAGGTAACAGCACCTGGCATTAACTCAGCATGCCAGCCTCAGTGTACTCCTCCAGCGCGGTCATTTTCTCCCTTGCCTGCGATACGCTCTTTCTGGAAAGTTCCGCCTGTCTCTACTTTCTCACCCCATTGTCCATGTCCTTCATGGCTCGTAATCACCACCAGAATCTCCACCTCATGAGCCACAGTCCCCGAGTCTCCACCCTTCAACCTGTGTCCGTCTTGCTGCAACCATTTGTAGTGTCTTTTGCAGTCCTTACTCGCAGTTTTTGCCCCTCCTCATTTAAGTCCTGGCCTTCCCTTTTTTCATTGCCACCTGACTTCATGCCGAATGCATGTGTGTCTGCACAAGCTGCTCCTACTCTCAATGCTGATCCAAATACGTGTTCAATCTATTCTCCCTCATCTTGTCATCAATTCTCCATGTATTCCTTGATTTGCATTGCAATCTTATTAACCCATTTTCCACTGCTCATCCATCACTTGGTTACCACATGGCAAGTAGCTTCTCTCATGCATCACTGTGTAATGCCACGTGCTGTTACCTTATCGATTCATGTTCTGCCAGCCTGTCCCCCTGTCTTATGCTACACTTTAGGTGATTCTAAGCTTCTCTCTTTTAGGCGATTCTGGATTTCATGTCGGATCAGCTGTGTGGGCTGGAGATGCTGCCGTGTGAAGTTTCAGCACCGCACGCAGCAACAGACGGGGCAACAGAGGCCATGGAGATGAGGCTGAAGGCCCTGGAAGGGCAGCTGGAGGAGACAAGGAGGGGATTGGAGGAGGCTGAGCGGATCAGGGCAGCAGAATTGGTACTAGTGAAAGGGGAGCTGCTAACAGTGCGAGGCGAGCTCGTGACAGTAAGGGGGGAATTGCTCACAACAAGGGGGGAGCTGGTGACAGTGAAAGGGGAGTTGGACGCTTTGAAGGGTACTTTGTTAGGACCAAGAAAGGAGTTTGCTGAACAAAGGGAGTGCTTGCGGGAAGTGAAGGAAAAGCTGGCTTTGGAGGAGGAGGTGAAGGAGCTGAGGAAAGGAGTAAGTTCGGATGAGTCAGAAGCGATGCCATTTTTAACAGCGAAGCATGTGGAGTTTGACGTTGAAGAGGAGCTCAGGATGCGCCAAGGGATTCATAGAATGGTTTGGCAGGTGAATAAGGGATTGGTGGCACTGGCTGCCAGATGAATGTATTCATGAAATACCGTATGTCTTTTGGTATGGCTTCTACTGTTGCTGCTTTTAACGTTTTGTTTTCATGATTCGCAGAGGTTTCGTGCGACCACGACATTGGATCTGAAGGGGCTTCCTTACCTCTCAGATGCTATCCTCGGCCATGTGTCCACTATGACTCACCTGAAACGCATTACTCTCAATGGGTTAACACCGTTCAGTCCAGAAGGAATCAAGCACCTCTATATGAAGCAGCTGGAGAGTCTCGAGCTGACCAGCCATGCCATAACAGACAGCTGTTTGGAAGGCATTGGAGCAGCAAGAAGCCTCAAGTCTCTCTATCTCAATGGAACCTGCGTGACTGATGCTGGTCAGCAACATCTGGCACCTTTGAGCAGGCTCCAAGTGCTTGTTCTCCCGAGTATGATCTCGG